CCATGCTTTGTTCAGGGACCAGTTTCAAAACTTTTCTAGTTTATGAGGATGGTTCATCTTTTCGTGCAGTGCATTTCTGAATTATATTTGCTTAGCAGGAAAACCAGGAAGGTAACTTTTATTCATTTTGCACAACCTGAAAGCAAGAAAGGTTATTCTAAGTAGCAAATGCTGAATATGTAAAATTCAGTTGACCTTATGAAATCTTGGCCTGGTAGACAATTTGCTATTTGCTTTTTAACTTTTTACCTCCCATAAAATAACTTTTGTACCTAGATGAAGACAAATATTTTATCAATAGACCCACAAACTACAAGAATTATTTCAAGACCGTGATGCCATTATTGTTGACAGTTCTATCACTGCCAGTTCTATAAATAAAACATCAGGCATAACAAATACAATGCTGATGGCTACTAGTGAAGTCATTGCTTACTGCTTATATTGCTTGGCATTTGATAGAGCCATGCAACATTTCCTGGTCTACCCCAAAATGATGCCTTGGTTTGTGAAATAAATGTAGCTTCAGACTCTTTAATAGAGCCACCTCTTCTTTTGCATTGGTGCAGTTCTGTGGCTGCTTCAAAAAGCTATAAACAGATGCTGATGTACTGAAACACTTTTTTGAAATCAAGCCTAAAGTGCTGCACAACTATGGCATTTTATTTTACATTGTAGAGTGGAGAACTGATCTGCAAAGTGTTTTGTTTCTTCAACATACTTCTATTATCATGTATGCAGTGTGCTTGTAAAAAATATGCTAGATAATAAGTTATCTTTTTAAAAAAATTATGTACGGCTTAAACACGCACTCTGCTTGCTCTGGCTCTGAAATATTCTGCTTAATAATAATAGTTGAGGATAGGCCCTCACAACATAGCCTCCATCTTGGTGACAGCCTTGATCCAACAGAAAAGTGGTGTTTTCCATAGAAAACTACCTATGCAAATGTTCTGTATCAAGTGAAGAAGCTCCAATGTAAATTATAGTAAAAGAGTAAAGAAAAAAATGGTTGTAATTCGTTTTCAGAGAAATAGCTTTTTTATATATTCCTACAACAATAACCAAAGTGTTTTGTGACACTTCAAAAATTAACCAATTTACTTTTGCATAAACTTTGTGGCATGGTCTATTTAATCAGATGCAAGCAGTATAGTCCTGTGAGAGATTACATACTTGCACAGTTGTTACTAGATATTCCTTATGTATAAGAAAGCAAAGTAGCTTTTGCTTTTAAACAGCTACTAGGAAATGAAAATATCACATGCACATTTATTGCAGGCATGACACCCAAACCTTGTGGCTGAACCAAATACCAGTCCTTCCTTTGGACCTATGCTGTCAATATGTAGGACCAAATAATGCTACTCACACTTTCAGAGATGCAAATACTTGCTCATTCTCCAATATACGTTATCATTGTCTCTTGCCCTGTACACTACTCAATATTTATGCAAAAGGAAGCGATACAAAAGGAAAGGCAATAGCCCAAAGCTATTGGGAGAACATTTCAAAAGTTCCTAGGCCACTTTATCTCAAATTTCAATAGCAATTCTAGAGAAATTATGGGGATTAATTTTGTCATAAAACAAATGAGCTGGAGTTAATAGTTTTGATGCAATTTCTCAACAGATCAAACAAAGAGATATGTTAACTGTGTATTAAATAGGAGTCTATCTCATGCTTATTTTGTGCATGGAAACCTTTCTCATCTTTCCTCTCATCATCCTCTATTTCTCTTTCATTCAACTCTATGTCTATGCAGTGCTTCTTTATTCACAAGACTTTGTCTGATGAAGGGAATTATGATTTACAAATAGTTTTGTGAAAATGTTGCTAGCCTTCAAGATGCTAGAACACGGGTATCAAACTCACTGCATCATGTGATGTTGTGCAACGGTTTTCCTATTCGTGGAGCTGCGATATGCGTGGCCAGTGCGTGATGCATCTGGCCCATGGGCCACCACTTCTGTGCTAGATTTGTTCTCATTATAACTGATTCAAGCCACTATTTCTCTTGAAATAACATTTTTAGTTTTAATCTCTTTACTCCGAAACCTGGGAAAATATAATAGTAGGATACAAATGAAAATATAAACTGAACAAAAAAAAAAAAATAGTGAAAGAAATATGGCTATTTTTTACAAAAAGTCTGATCACAGACTCTTTGGATCTATTAAGATAGTTTACTAGAAAATAAATTAGAAAATGTTGCTGAAATATTGTTAGGACACAACGCTGCTTGAAAAATCAAAATTATGAAAAGAAATTTCTCCCTTTGGTTTAAAAAACAAACATTTATATGCTGTTTTAAAGGATACTTCTCAGAATTATTTACAAAACAGCAAATCAAAACAAAAGGGAACTTAAAAAACAGATCAAAACCATTGATTTAGACCAGGCAATCTTTTTGTCCTTCTGAGTGGGTAGAAGCAACAATTTCAGCCCCACCCACTTTTGGTAGGTAACACTTGACAAGCTGTGTACTTGTGTGGTCTTTGAACCAAGAGAAATGGTAGATTCTGGTATATTAAAGATAGAGGCCTTCAAAAGCGATCAAAGGCAGTGTCAACAGTGCTTCCCTGGGAAGCAAATTCCAAAGGATGAATGCAGCTCGTCTTTTATAGTACAGGTGGTATTTCCAGTGGTAATCTGATTCCCAGTTGCTTTGTAATTTTGAAAGTTAAACCTAGCCTTAGGATTCAGGAGCCTCTAATCTTTATAACTTTATTCTAGATTTGGGGAGTGGGGGAGAGGGCTAATCATGGATATACTGGGATCAGAAAAATTAATTCTGTAAATGCTCAGATTCTAAACAATATAGATTTATTTCATAAATTTCAGGATTATGAGTTCTGATTGAAGTTGGCACTAGTAATTATGAATGGTAATGGAGATGAAAAATGTATTTAAAGTACATATGCCTGCTAAAGCAAATCTAGGGCAACTACATAAATATAACAATAAGGAAATTAAGTACTTAACTACTCAAGTCTCAAAACCATTAAGTAGCTTTTTTAGAAATTTTGCAAGCATAACAAATCTGTTTCAAATCAGTATTTTTGCAGTGTCGGTGGATTCTTGTGGTATTTGAATGTCCCAACTCTTCTGTTTTTAGCTCACTTTCTTAGATTGGGTTTTACTGAAAAAGTTCCTCATCTGCATGGATTCTGTGTATTTAAGTGATATGCACTGATTAACAACCTTGTGGTAGGTTCATATATATATGTAAAGGATTTTGCCTAGGAGAGACAAAGGATTTTTTTTTCTGGAAACAGCCCAATAATTAATCTTTTTTGTTCGTGTTTGTACTATAAGAACAGGTCCAATTAATTCTCCCACAACTACAGTTTTGGAGAGCTCCTTCCTGAGAGTTGTATCTTTTTACTTATTTCCAAATAAAAGACAGCATAACAAATATGTAGGAAACCTGATTATTCAAATTTATTAACATCAAGAATTATGCAATGATGCTGTAGAACTTTATTAACAAATAGAAAACAGACTGTATACAACAGTGACCCCTACAGCACTATGCTATCACAAGGTAAAAATGAATGTTCTCTCCAACATCACCACCCAGGATTGTTGATTTCAATGCAGTTTGGATACATTGGATAATACAGTTAGAGACCTTTCCACCACCTTTATTTTTAGAGCTATGCACCTGGGAGAAGGCTGTAATCTTTCTGCCTTTAGTGCAAGTGTAAGTTAATAAAGAGGAATAATATATAGTACCATTAAATTAATTCCAGTAGTCTTGCCACATTGGTTAATTAAACCATCTTTACATTGTTGAAAATGAGAGCATTCTAATGACTTTTAAATGTTTACAGGATAGCAAGATTTAGACCCAAACCCAGCCTCTAAGAAGTGATTTCCTTATTTGAAAACCCCCAATCCTTCTCCCCCTCCTATAACCAAGGCACCCCCATTCGGGAGGTGTTTGTGCAGGAAGGCTGGCCTTCCGGAGTTGTGCTATTTTACCTTGGAAAATACTCTGATACTCTTTGTTGGCCACATTTTCTATGTAACCACACTTCAGGATGCTATTGGCACAAAAAGGACTAAATAAAGGAATGTTATGGTGAGGTCCCTTTTTAGAACTTGACTGTGTGGCAACAATGCCACATTTCCTCCCATCTCAACAAGACAAGCTCTGAGGGCAGTGGGTCTCTCTTTCCATTAGAAAGTTTACATGGAATCTGTTGAAATATATGAGGTCACTGGACACATGTCAATAGGATCAAGCATCTGATCTAGCTAGAGCCTCATCTGACAAGACAAGCCTATGGAAAAAAAAAACTTCAGAAGTAATCATTAGGTTGGCTCCAACTCTGTGGAAATGAATATTCTACAAAGGACTGAAGAGGGAGTTGGAGGATCCCAGAGCTATGAGCCAGGTGCTAATATTAACCTGGGAGTGCCCGAAAATGGGCAGCGCCACTATGGTTGAGACAACATAAAGGGGGGGGAAAGGGAGAAGACAAAGGAAAATTAAAACCCCACCACCTCTATTCTCCTGTTTTGCCTGAGCAAAACATTAAGACTTGCAAAAGAATTTTTTAAAAAAGAAAAGATATAAAAGGCTAGTTAACTATTTTACATATATAAAAAATTTTGTCCCTTCCACCTAGTGACCCTCACCATGAAATGTTATCAGGGGGGGTGGAGGGAGGAGGAGGAGGAAAAGGAGTGTAGGTATTAACCTAAATCCATCTGGTGCTTGGAAATGTTAGAAGATGGTCCCATTTTTAGCATGGTGGCAATGTACCTAAATACTGTGGTCAAAACTGGTTGGTCATGGGGAGGCTGTTGCCGCAACAGCAGCATCTGCACAGAAGGACTAACAAATAGGCGGCTGGCTGGGAAGAACCCGTCTCTGCACTTAGACATTCCTGCTGCAACTTGTTGAAAGCATTAGTTACGTTGCATAGTGATCAAAGCTACCAAGATACTCCAGAGCAGCCCGATAACACAGTTGATACTGGTCCTGGAAAAGGGAGAAAAATAAAAATCAGTGCTAAGTTGTAAAGGTAGCTATCAACTGTTCTATTACATCATAGTTCAGAAATTAAGAATAGGAGGTATTACTCTGCACTTCATATTACAGGCCTTGCTCTGCACTGCAACCTGATACAGTTGTGTCCATTTCTAGACTGGGAGGCCTTGCTCACAGTCACCCATGCCTTGGTCACCTTCCCTTTGGATTACTGCAATGTGCTTATATGGGATTGGCCTTGAAGACTATCCAGAAGCTGCAACTAGTCCAGAATGAAGTACAATGAATGAAGTTCACTCCAGTAACACCATACTGTGTCAGCTGCACAGGTTTCCAGTTGCTTTCTGGGTACAAGTTAACGTGCTGTATCACCTTTAATGGCACAGGTGGAACTGTCTCTCCCTACTGCCATCCTACTAGATTAGGAATGGTGGGTTGCTCCATGTCTCATCCCTTAAATGTTGCCATCTGATGGAAACATACCTCTTTGGTGGCCACCTAATTATTTGGAAAAACCTCCCACTGGAGATTGAGAAGAACCCCATATCTTTTAGCCTTCAGGTGGATGGTGAAGACCTGTCTCTTCCCACAAGCTTTGGGCCAGGATGAGAAGGTTGAGCTTAAGGATGTTTGGTCTTGTGCCTGGGAGGAAATTATGTTTTAACTATGTTCTATGGATTTCTGCAAGTCACCTAGAGCAGGGGTCCCCAACCACCGGTCCGCGGACCGGTACCGGGCCACGGAACAACTCCTACCGGGCCGCTGGCTTGCTGGGCGCCGCCATCTTTTTTTCATGAAAAAGTGCTTCCGGTGAGCTTTTCCGGGTAGAAAGTTCACCGGAAGCACGTTTTCATCAAAAAAAGATGGCGGCACCCAGCTGATGCCGGTACCGGGCCGCGGCGTCAAAAAGGTTGGGGATCACTGACCTAGAGTCATTGTATGAGACAGGTGGCCATATAAACCCTGTAGCTAAATAAATAAATAAATAAATAAATAAATACATACATACATACATACATACATACATACATGAGGTGTTTAGCTAGTACCAAGCAGATGCTAGATCTTATGCCAAATGAAAAGAAATATCAGACTCATCTTTTTACATATCACACTTCAAAGTGCCAAGCAATAAGACTATGGTGGGAGCTAATTCCCAGTAGAACCTGTAAGTTTAATGGCAAGCAACTGGTTGCTTTGATAATACAGAAAACGCAATTATGCAGAATTTGTGGCTGTGTTTACACTTAACCACCTCACATGAAAATTTATTTGCTACTAAATTACAGTACTTTTTTGGCACACAGTTGTTAAAGAGGTATAAAATATAGACTGGAAGATCTATTCTCTCCCATCCAACCCATTGAAAAGGAAAGATTGTCTTGATGGACAATATCAAGAGTAGCAGTTGGGAATAAGGTGTGTAGATCAGATACAAATTGTCTTACAAAAACAGTTTAATCTTTCTGGACTAAACACTGGATTCTCTTGCTGTTGTCCTGTAAAGGGGAAAAGTACTTGACTGGTTTCTGGGGCTCCAGCTGTCCTTTAGGTCTGGCAGGCTGATTGGATATCATTAAATTATTCACAATGCAATAGTATTCATGTTGCCTTTCACGATGAACTTATAGTGGGCTGGTTGATCCCTTGAAAATATCTGCTGGAGATTTTTTTTTAAAAAAATTCTGTTCGTATTTCTTGTCCCAGCTTTTCAGGTTATGAAGTCAGTTTGGGATTTGTGAATGCTTCAAAAAGGACTTGGAAAGCATGTTCTGCTTAAAGTATCCTTTTTTTCAAGCACAAGATTAAGAAAAAGATGGTGATTCTTTAAAGAATGCAGCATCTTTTCCCAGTCTTGTGCAGAATATGAAGAAATTTACTTTGAAGCATGCACTATTTGATAACATTCCTGCATCATCTGATCCCTGGAAACTTTGGGTATTTTATTTATTTATTTAAATTTAAATCCAACTCTAGTGGACTTTGGGTGGCATATTGCCCTCTAACTATTACATAATTGTAGTTTTAGAATAATAGGAACTATTAACTACCTGACTAAAAAATAACTGCATTATTCAATTGTAATTAAATTTGAAATTAGTAAAATCAAATTATATATTTGTCCTATTTTCCAAGTATTATTCAGTTAGCAGGTCTTCAGCCAGAAAAAGGTGGGGGATTATTTCTGTTTCTTGTAATAGTTCACATAGTGCTCCAAGAACTTTTTTTTATCACGTACCTGAATAACTGGCGAAATCAGCTGTCTTCTCTTATTGTGCCTCTTATATGCTTAAAAAATAGACTACAAATGTTTGATTGAAACGTTTTTTTAAACTAACCTTACTATCTATATTCTAAACTTCATGTTCCATATAACTGTGTGTGTGTGTAAATAAAAATATATCATTATGGAAAAAAAACAAGGCTAATAGCAGTCAATTAGCAGGTAAGTAGACTATCCTGTTTTCAGAATTAACTTTCTCATATAGGAAGGCAGACTCCACTTTCATCTAATGAATGTTTCACCCACTTCAATTTTAAGGCAGGAAATAGCATGGCAATTAGCTTTACCTCTGTCTGCACCATGGCTGGTCGCTGTGTTCTCAGGGTCTTCACTGTCTGGAACATGTCAACTACCCCTTCATAGCGCATACGCTCCAGTACAATACTCAATGTGATGAACACCCCTGTGCGTCCGACCCCCGCACTATGTACAAGGAAAAGAGTAAATGAGTAACAATCCCAGTTTGGATTGCATCCAAGGGATTGACATTCCAGAAGCTCACAACTTCACACAAAACCACCTGCATTCTAAATAGCTTCAGTTCAAACGTCATGCTAGACTTTTATGCTTAAAACCAATTTGCTTGTCTTTATTCTTAAAATGCTTCTATGTATAGAATAGTGACATCAGAAGCTCTCTAGTTTTCCTGGCAAACTTATTTACCTCACCATTAGCCTATTCCTAAATGAGCTTTCACAGGTAGCTTAATGCCCAAACTCACCTGCAGTGTACTGTGATGGGCCCATCCTGGCCAAACTGTTCCTTAGTTTTATGTACTTGGCCAATGAAGTCAATAAAGCCTTCGCCTGTTTTTGGTACTCCCTGCTCCGGCCAGTCAGTGAACTGGAATTGCCGTATAGTTCTTGATTGCCCATCCTAGTTGTGGAAAAGAGAATAAATCACTGCACCCTGCTTTCATCTTACGGTGTTGCTTACTAGTTCCTGGAAAGATTGAGTGGAGTAAGTTAAATCTGAGCATATTAGCTACACTATTTTATCCCAAAATGTCACTGGCTGTTAGGACAATAAAGCAATGCCTGATGATAAATGTCCTTCTGTACCAGGGAGCTGCAATTTCTGATGGAAACAACATTGGGGGATTCAGAATATGGTGTCTAATACTCACTCTAGCATCAGTGACCTTAAACTCACGAAGGATATATTGAGGCATGTTATATTCAGCCATGGGATCCACTACAAAGTACTGGTAGCGAGCAGAGCGTTCTGCTGGCCAGTACTGGTGGCATTTTTCCTGAAAAGAAAAAAAAGATAAAATTCATTAGTGGCAAACAATATAGTACTACTTGCATGAAAGTTATTGTATTCAAAAGTGACAAAATAAGAATTTTCTTAATAAATGGCTCCTCCCTTCTGGCTGGAAATGACTGATGAGTTTCACCTTGAATACCTCCCCCCCACAACACTTTCCAATAAGCAATCAGGTTGTACTCTCATTTATCTTTCCAGTTCAAAGTTTGATAGGCTTTACTGCTTCAACTGAACCTTCTCATTGTGTGGTCCTCTAGTGTCAGAAAGGGTGTTTTCAGGCTTTAAAACTTTCCATCAATGATACGAGAAAAATCACATTTTACATTTAAAAATTCAGATGCCTCAGATGCCTTAGGTATTAATCTGACCAATTAATCACTGACCAGAAAAATTCAATGAATGAGAACTACAATGAACAAAATAGCTTGAAGGTTTAACTCTCAAATCTGTATCTCCTTCCTGTTATTTCTATTCATGCTGGCACCAGTATTGTCCTAAACTCTCACATTCTCTATTGCAATACTCTTATTTTTCTATATGTTTAAGAAACATGATTGTCATACCCACTTGCTCAAATAAATTCTAAAAAAAAAAATGCTAGACTGATAGTCATTATTTGCAGGGAAATGTTCATGAGTTTCTGTTGTTACAAAATGTACCACTGGAGTCCTTTCTTCCATATGGCTGGTGTCAAGTGTGCTCTCTGGCATATCAGCAATATTTTCTTGACTTTAGATCTGTCACAATCTTCTGTTTGACTTTTCCTGCCAGTAACTATGACCAGTAACTAGGCAGTGCTATGCATAGATTTCTTTGGTTGTGACTCTTCTTAGATACTCCTAATCCACAGCATCAAATTCAACTGTTGTGTCTACAGTTTTAAGGAAGTTTCCAGTTTTTGGCACATATAGCTGAACTGCAGAAACACTCAAAAGTGAGTTAGCCAACAATCTTACAATAATGGTTAACAGAATGTTTTCAGAATGTTTTGACAGGAATGATTCAATCTTCTCTTGATGCTGTTCATCTGTGGCGGCCTTTAATCTTGGTCAAGCTTATGGGACATTCATGATTTGATGCCTTCACACATGGCATGGCAGATTTTTGCAGTCCTTTATTCCTCTAGAACCGAGTGTACTTGAACTTTAGAAGAATTTACCATAAAGGCAACATGTAAGCCATGGTTTTTCCACTTTGTAATCTCTCGGGATTTCATGCCTATAATGTGTTAGATGAAAAACTTCTGAATTCATTGTGGTTGGGAGCTTATTGTGATCTATGTAGTACAAGGAAGTTCTCCAAACCACTGAATCAACAGTCCTGGGTCATACAAACTTAGAGAATTGAAGAACAACTTAAAAAGCAGCTTTTGCAACTCAACCACATTTTTCTCTGATCAATAATTTTTTCAGTAATGGCTGAAAATGGCTATACCCATTTGAGATGGAGACACTGACAGAGTACTAGCTCTAAGTCAAGAGTATCCTGACTAACTAGAAGATCAGGCATCCCTCACTTCTCTGTGTGTCTGAGAAGAACTCATTTCTGCTTAAATACAAAACCTCCTCTATTTGTTTGCTTTTTCTGAATGCTGCCTAAAAGGGTTATTGTCTTTCTTTTATGATATAGGTTATAGCCACTTTTCTCCGCCAGCTTTGGAGGCTCTCAATGCTCAATGTAACGCAACAAATAGAGTGATAGCAGAAGCTGACAAGAGAACATACCACCATCCTAAGGGACTACGTGGCTCCTAGTATTATTTTGTCTTTTGTTTGTGATCAAGTTGACTGCCTGTTTTCTTCAAGTGAATTTGGAGAAGTAGGAGTTTCACAAGAGGATCCCTCACAAAGTGGTGTTAAATCAATCCAGGCTCATGGAGAATGTGTTAGATAAGTACTAGAGGCTGTCAACCAAAAAGATACCCCTTTGCGGCTAGAAACTTATAATTTGAATGGGGGTGCATGGTGGAGTCCTGACAGAGGCTTTCCAGCAGCTCCTAATGCTTACTACTATTTCCACTCACCTTCTCCTATCTACTAGTTTATGCTCCCTTAGTAACTATGCATCAATAACAGGCACAATTTACTTGGTTGGTTTTATTTACTTTGAACAATAGTAAGGTCTCCCTTCTTCAAGATTTAGTACTTGAGGCAATTTCCACAAGGTGAGGCCAGCCCTGAGAAATGCTGGATGAGAGGTTGCTTTCTCAGATGATTTCAGGGGACAGATCTTTTGGAACCCCAGCAGAATCTATCAACCCTGAAGCCTTTGTGTCACATTCTCTACCTTTTATTGATTCACCTGTCCTCAGTTCTGATGAGGGAAAGCATTTTCAGCTGAATTACCTGTCCATGAATCAGACAGGACTGTAAGGCAGGGTATGTTGCAGATCCCATTTATTAGGGATGTACAACTGGTGGGACTACGAATAAGGGCCTTCTCATTGGTGGCTCCTTCCTTATGGAACATAATTCCGATAGAGGTATAATTGGCCCCCACCTTGCTGCTTTTTCAAAAGGCATCTGAAGATGTGGTTTTATCACTAGGCCTGGGGACCCTGAATGGAGATGGAATCAGGGGTGGGATTCTACCAGTTCGTCCCAGTTCAGGCGAACCAGTAGCTCAGAGGATCAGCTGGGGGCAAACCAGTTCGGTTTGCTCTGACGATCAGCTGTTGGGTCTGCCCGCTTGCCGGGGCTCTAGGCTGTGCTTTATATCCTGTTTTTCAAGTTCAGCTGATTTGAGTGGCACAGCGGATTGCTGCGCATCAGCTGTTTAACACGCAGGGATTGCTGGAGAAGGTCAGTAGCAAATGCACCGAACCGGTTGTTACACCGGTTGAATCACACCTCTGGATGGAGCCGATCAAGTGGTTTATTTGTGTTCCTGCTGCCATGGAGGATGAGTTGGGTTTTATGGTTTTATATAGCAGAGTTTTAATGTTGCAAGCCACCCAGGGTTCCTGTGTATAAGTTGGGAAGCCATATAAATTCATTACATTAGTAATAATAACTAAATCCGGAATCTCTGTATGCAAGATTAGGTTTTGTAGTACAAATTTCCCTATAGAACATAGGATGCTTACTAACCCGCCCCATTTCTCGCAGTTTTGTCAGCATCACTACAATGGTGGAGTTGTGTTCCCACAGCATTCGCCAGAAATCCTCTGTAGTCTCAGCCAAAGGTCCCTGTGTGGCGATGTAAGCCTTCTGTTGTCTGCAAGATATCAAAGAGTTCAGATTAGTGACCAACTCTGGCACTTCTGGCATGGGAAGGAGACTGTAACATACATCTAGGTCAGGTTTGGGCAGTGTTTGACAGTTTGCTAAATATTTTAGGGCTTATGTTGTAATTATTTTCATTTATTTCTTCAAAATGGCAGGAAACCTGTACTATTGGTGAAATCATGCTGCCAAAATTTCAGTCATGTAGTTGGAGATCTAACATCACAAAATCTAGATTCAGCAAAACTAGAAATCATGGAACATCTGCATGCATAACAGGGAATTCCCTGTTAAAGCATCCCAAAATCTAAGTCTTGTGAGGTCAGGGATAAAGGTCTAGATTCCACTGTGACATTAAGAAAGAATGCAAATCCAGCCAAATCTATAACTGAGGTTGTGATACTTTTATTTTACCACTATGGGGCACTACAGATCCTCGTATATAACCTTAGGCTCCTCATTTGATCTCTCCAGTGGTGCTAAAAATTAATGAATCTGGTATAGGACAGCTGTAATGATGCAGGACAGAGATGCAAGCTGCTCCATAGTGGATTTATAAGACATCGTAAAAGGTGGGAGCACAGCGTGGGTGAGGGGAGAAGAAACAAATAAAAATGCACCTTGGGCCAGTTGATCCCTTTTGATAAGGTGGAGAATGATTGCTCACTTCAAATAGAAAGATGAGAAGAGATAAATGGGAGCCCTCAGGGACAGTTTAGGTAAGACATGAAATGCTATCTCCTCCAGTTTGGCAGGCGCTCAATAGTCCTTTCTCAATAGTAGCCTTTCTATTTTAGCACTATATACATTAAAGTGTATCACACCAACTACGGTTGCTTTATTGGTGGGGGGGGGGCATATAAATTTAATAAATAAATAAATAAAAATAAGGTGGCAGCTCATAGGGTTATTGGCAGGATAACTGAGTCATCATCAGTAACTCTTCTACATTTCTAACTTTAGCACAGCTCAGAGGTCTGCTGAAGTTTCCACCCCATAGAGTGGAAACTTCCCACCCTACTCTACTGGGGTGGAAACTTCTTTCATGTTCCTAGCTCTCTGCCCACCATGTCTTTTTTTAAAGTCAACCTTCATATTGCCAATTCATTTCTGCTTTTGCAGCCCATCAGATATCGGGAAGGGGTGGGGGAGGGAGATAATAAAATAAAGGTCAGCGCTTCTTCCCCTTACGCAGAAATGATTATCCCATGAAATATCTCTGAATTCACTACTGTAGGTAAACTGCTCTGCAGCCTGATTTTTTTCCTTGGGCCAAATGCTCTGCATCAAATCTTTCAAGTGGTAGGAAGGGGCTCATCTGCTTGTACTGCACTGCTGGAAGGAGATCTGACAAGTAAGGTGTGCATATATTGGAGAATGAATTATGTAGTAAGCTGCCTACAGTGTGTTGACTACAGGAAAACGAAAAACGCTGAAACCAGTATTTCTCCGTTAACTAGATAATAAAGCTTGAACGGAGAAGGTAGGAAGAGCAAAACCACTAAGAAAAAGTAGTTTAATATACGTGCCATGAACCTGACTGATTATGCATGTTGTTGTTCTCTCAGCATTGCTTGACAGAAGTGTCCAAATTAAAGAAGCAAGAGTGAACATCACAAAAGAGATTCAGACTTTGAACAGGACGGCATACTTTACCTGTAACCATCTACAAAGCTAGCATTGATATAATCTGAACCTTCAACACCCCGGATTGGCTGCAGGCAAACCCGTGTCAGCTCATAGGGCATGATATTCACTAGGCGGTTTTTGAATTTGTTGCATGGAAGATTGGCACTGATGAATCGTGAGGTATGTGCTTTGGAATTGGCGAGGAGCTGTGAAGAGAAGTGACAAATTGGCAGGAAAAATCAGATGCAACACTTCAGGAGCAACAGGTCTCTCAACATCAGGTACAATTTTTCACATTTAATACAGAAAAAAAGATTATCTGAAGAGATGATAGAACTTGTTTAGGTAAGAATCACTAGCATGAATTCCATCAAGGAGAATATTCTTGCTCATACTGGAAAGCTGCTAAGAATTTGTTGCTGAGCCACTGTACCATTAAGACTGGAAAGCATAACCATCGCATTCCCACTTTATATTTTTTAGATGAGCACCTCAACACATCTTGCTCATCTAAAAAATCATGAAAACGGGCCCAAATTTGATCTATGTATGTATCAGCACTGCACAATATTGTTATTCGGCAATACGGTCTGATACTAATTGCGCAATGTCTTCCAAACAGCCCAAAGCCTCCTATCCATTATTTTTAAAGGTTTCCCAATCCTTACCCAGGTACAGGAAGATATATGAATATCCATATGCCTGGCTGCTCCTGCTCTTAGTTCTGTGGAAGTTTATTTGCCAGAAAACTACTCATGTGCTCCATCACAAAGGAAATGCCTGGAAAGCAGGCAAGAGAAATTCTTTTGCTTTTTATCTAATGCAAAGTCAAGCTTGAGATTTTGGATTAGATTTTAGAAGCATTCTCCATCCATCCATCTGTGATTCTTGAGCCTAAGACCAAGTCACTTTTAGAGGTTAAGGGTGGTATTTGTATTTCTGGAAGTTGTTGGAATCTACTGTCAAGTCCCCTGGTTTTATGTCCCTGCTCTTATCACTGCTAACTGCTAATAGCAGGAGTCACTTAGAATTGGTAGACTGACATTAAAATAAATACTTATCATAGTTAGAAAGGGAAATGTTATAAAAATGAGTATTGGTGGCTCTCTTGCCTTGCTCTTTCCTTTTCTCCTCTCTGGGAATGGTAGTAATGGAAGGAAGAAGAGACTTTGCTGAATCTTGCACCCGTCTCCTAACTCTCATTAAAGCAGAATCAGACACCCAACTGTTCTGATGGCGCTTGCTCCTGCTGACCTTTCATAGGACTAGCATTTATAGGAAAAAAACCAAGAGCTGTTGTTAGCCATCACCCATTCACGTCTTCCTCTGGCTATAGAAAGGACTAAGCCCGGAAACAGAGGATGAGTAAATGGAGTAGGGTTAGAAGAACCAAGTTCAGACTTCTGCACTGATTTTGCCTTCTGCTGCTTGCACAATAAATAATTTTGTTGACTATAAAACTATTTGTATCTATAGTCTTTTCTGAGCAAATACACATATTAAGAGAATTAATAGAGCTCTTAACTATTATCAAAGCTGTAATGGATACTGGTATGAAACTACTACAGATGCAAAAAAATGCTGACAAGCCCTGACCACGAAGGCAAGAGGCATTGGAATTGCTTGATTTCTCAAGGGCTTAAAGTAAAAAGTATGTCCAAATAAGCTTTTCTTAGTGACATCACGAATACCCCAATTTCCACTGGGTTCTGGATATAGCTCCAGCTGCTAGTGACGCTGAGAACTTCATTTTCATCTGCCTTCCTATATACTTTTCTAGAAGTGTATCAGGACAGGACAGATATGTTGAAGTACAGGACAGATATGTTTGAATGCGCACTACTCTGCATCCAAATGTATTTTAACACTTTCTACAAGTGTAATATACCAAAGGACCATTATCCTTAGAAAACTCTCTTCCTTCATCCAGGAATAAATTGTCAGTGAGAAATGACAAACAAGCAACTTCTCTAATCCTATAGTTGCTCTATAGATTTTACATGCACAGGTACACATTGCAAATAATCTTTTACTCACCTTAAACTCTAGTTCCATTGCTGTGACACTCTCACCTGGAGGTACCTGACTCAGTTTCTGGATATGGGCAAAGAGATTGCGGGCAGGCACCTCGGTGTTTCCACAAGTGGCTGCTTCTAGCAAGGCTTCGTGGATGAAGATATACTGATCCTCAGTCTGCACCATATAGTTTCTTTGTGAGCGCATGCATGTCACATGCCCATAGATGTCCACTGTCTTTTCATGCTTCATCCTCTCAAGCATGGCATCAATTACAATGAAGCAGCCTGTTCTGCCTACACCAGCACTGTAAAAGCAAGGCATAAAGCATGAAATTGGGCTCTGCACAGTGGCAATGCTCTAGATATACTGAATCTTTTCCTAGTATGATGCAAGAATAGCTTATTTTCAAGGTCACCTTTACATACATTTTAGGTATTATTAGAAGTTCTTATAGGAAACAGATTGACCTTTGGAAATAAAATATAACCTGCTAGGATGCTGAACTTCTGAGCAATTCTATGTCCTATTTTACATAAGCATCTTTACTGTGGAAGGCCAGTGTAACCTAATCTTACTGAGTGATGGCAGTCCTTATGGGATAAACAACTGACAACCCATCAACAAGCAACAGATACGGTATCTGACAGGGAAGAATTCTGCAGCAGGACATTTCCTTGCAGCTGCCCGTGTGCAATTCTTTACAGGATTTTAATAGGGAGAGAGTATCTGTTAATTATACATGACTCCCATCTGAACCAGAGCATGAAGAGAGAACATTAAATACCGTTTCTAAGGAGTTTGTGAAAGCTGCAATGATGAAGAGGTTTGTTCAGTAATAGTTCCCACTCAGCTGCAAGAGATAAATCACTGGCTGGATAAGGTGCCAATTCCTAGTGAACTAAAGTTTATGGCTGAAGCACTTTTTTTTTTTTAGCTCCAAACTGCAGCATAAGAATTTATCACTATGCATGCAAATAGTGTGTACGTGTATACTTAGATAATGCCCAGAGTTTTGTGCTTTTACGTACATGCAAAGCGATGCCAATAGGTTTTTCTGTTGTCATGATCGTTTTACCACCATGTGCATGTCCGCTTTTGGGATATTTCATCTTATTGTTTTAGTGAGGTTTCTATTTGTTTTCATGTTTCAATTTTAAATGAAAAATAGAAGAAACACAGTAATAGTAACAATGGCATGTTTTGTGAAGATTCACATGTACATAAGTTCAGTGAGATGGTCTAGTGCTACTGGATGCATATGTAGAATTTTATTCCAAAGTTCCAATATTAATACTTAATTGTTTCTAATAATGTGTTTTTTTAAAAAAGAAAACATTGGGTCAAAAACTTTTGACTATAAAATATATAGTTGAATATACAGTTGTATATATTAGCAGGGGAATTACAATGCCAATGCTATTCTTGCTGTAGCAGTAGGTTGCCTGTAAAACCCCCAAGTATACAGCATTGCCAAAATACAGAGATTTATAGTTTCCCCCCATTGTATTATCTGATAGTTATCTAATATCATAGATTTACATGTGTAGGAATCAGCCGTACCTGCAATGTACAACCACTGGGCCAGCATCTGAAGGATTGCATGCTTTTACTCGTCTCAAGAATGCTAAAATAGGAGTAGGATATTCTGGCACACCATGGTCAGGCCACGCCATAAACTGAAACTGTCGCAGTTCCCGTTTTTCACTGGAACCGTTCTGCAGATAAAGCCAAAATACTTTAGCTGGAATTAATGGGCAGCAGATGAATTCCTTGATTTGGCACTCATGTACCATAGAGTACTAAGGTCTTTTCAACATGCCAGATGATTGCACATCTTCTCTTTTACTACATGCTTATTTTCTGTATCATTTAGTTCTATTTTTTTAAAAAAAATATTCTTGTATATCCTTGCTGTGATTTGTTGTTCAATGAATTTTCTAGTGCCTGTACTATGAATACTTATGCAATTCTGAAGACCATATATACAGACAGTAAAGGAAGATGGTCTTAACAGAGATGTGCAGGAATTGTTACTAAGGCAAAAGGGGCTAAAACATTTTTGAAGTCAAGACCACAGACATAACATTCAGAAATAGCTCAAGTACATGACTTCCTAATTCACTGAAGCGTAAATAGGACAAAGTATAGCATTATCAGATTTATAAGATTCTGTTATTATAGCCAATCTCACTAAAAATAGTTTCAGACTTCCAGTAGAATTTGATTTCTTGGTCTATCTAGTAAGACTGACAATATCTGAGGAACTACTTTTAAATATTTCAAAACAATATTCCTCAGGCTATTTACATATTTAATTACAGATAGTCCTCACTTATCGATGGATGTTACAGTGACCATTTGCAGTTACTACTATGCTGAAGAAAGAAATCTATGACCAGTCTTTACACTTCTGGCTGTTGAAGCATACCCACAATCTCTTGACTGTGAGTTGGATGTTCAGCAACTGGCATATTTATCATTGTCATAGCAATCTGTGGTCACATGATCACCATTTGAGACCTTCAAGCCAGTTTCCAACATGCAAAGTCAATGGGGTAGCTGGCAGGAAGTAGCAGTCACATGGTATGCTTAACTGCAATGAGCAGCTGGAACTGACCTAACCAGTGGTGGGATTCAAATAATTTAACAACCGGTTCTCTGCCCTAATGATTTCTTCCAACAACCAGTTCACCAAACTGCTCAGAAAGTTAACAACCGGTTCTCCCGAAGTGGTGCGAACTGGCTGCGAACTCCCACCACTGGACCTAACTTAAGCATGGTCATATGATGTTTCACTTTATGGCTGTATCATTTAGTGATGGAGTTGCTGGTCTCAATTTCAGTGAATGAAAGAGACCTGTACAATATGTTAACATACTTGGCTTGCTTTTCAGACTTGAAATTCATGCCACTGTAAAAGTCTTTACAGTCATATGATGCATGTGACACACAGTTTTTACAAGATATTGGGTTGTCCAGTTCCATTCTTTTTTCAAACTGATTGGACACAAAAATGATGAATGTGTCTTTGGGAAGTAAGGAAGACTACACTGCCTATGGGGCTGGGATTTCTATTTATCAGCCTTTTTATTAATGAATTCTTACCATATGTCATGGGCCATTTTATTTATTTTATTTTACGATGCTATAATTGATTGTAGCATGTTATTTTAAATCTATACTGCACTTAGTTATAAACGTGTAATTCCTTCTCTTCTTTCTTAAAAATCCATCCATTATAACTCATTTCCCCCCTTTTTCCAGTACCTTGTACAGGGCAAATGTTCGGACTGTATAAGTTGCAAGTTCAACCGTATCCAGCAAAGTCACTTGGATTAACCCATAGGTCTCTGTACCACGTCCTGGCCAGTACTGATCACATTTCACCTGCAATAAAAACCCCAAATGAATGGATAATGCCTGGAATGTAGCTATCATTGGGTTCCATAACATAGATACGTTTCTCCTGTTGTAATTCTCAAATGTTACCTGTATTTACTAGAATTTATTGATTGACAGAAGAAGACATATTTGGGAATAAAATACAGAAACACAAAGCACCCAAATTGCATTTGACCAAGACACACAGAGAAATTGAATACTTTTTGTCATATCTCACACTTCATTTTATAAGACCAATATGGCTAAATGGCCAGGCAGGGAGCAAAGAAAGATATTTGATGTTCAGAGGCAGGGCTAAGAAGCAAGGATGCTAATAGCTATAAAAGAAAGAAACTGAGAGAAATAGTCAATTCAAAAGCAATTTCTTTCCATATAATTTTATGTCCTTTCCCTGCTCTTTGGAAAGATTGGTATCTGTAGACAAGCATACTCATTTATCCTCTTCTCAGGGTGAATGTGGGAAGCCCGTATCCAACCTGTAATCCTCTCCTTGGGATTCTGCTCAGGTTCCTAGCATAAGGTAGCCAGCCTTTTTTTCCCTAGGTATCAGTTGTGAGAGGAAGGGCAGTGCTTTACATGGGCCAGACACTGCAGGTGTGTAACAGTGACTCACAGCAAGAGAGCTTGACCGAGGGAAACTTAAGAAGGTGAGCAAGAACAACAAGCTCAGGAGTGGAATGGATTTGCTACCTTTGCTACAAGCCCAGTGTATGTCTGGTCTGTGTGTACACAGGGAGAAGTTCCTTCAAGGGATAACCGAAAAGGCTATTCTTGGCTGAGGTCATTAGTCTCCTTAGTTGGGAAGGGCCAAAAAATAGGAAACTAATCGGGCTATAGTGCCCATTTTACTCTGTTTTTCTTTCATACCTCCACACCTCCAATTACTGATAGTCAAAGCTGGAACTAGCAGCAAAGACTAAGCTGGAACTAGCAGCATGTTTTTTGCTCGTAACACAACTACGGATTTGCTTGTCTATCTCCGTCCTTTCTAATGAGAAGAACTAGCAGCAGTAGGCTCTTGTATGCACAACCCATTCCAGGTCAGGTGGAAGTAGCAAAATATGGACTATATTTCTCTGTGTTCAACTGTCATATTTCAAAACATTCATGCATGCTGAAATTTCCCCAAACATATCTTGCCCTCTGCTTTCTATTTTTCTAGATCTCTCTCTGTCTTGTCCATTTACACATTTTTGAAGTCAAGACCACAGACATAACATTCAGAAATAGCTCAAGCACATGACATGAATCAATATTTGATTAAAATAGGATAAAATACTCTGATCAAGAAAGAGTAAATGTAATTATACAGGGCATGTGGAGAAAGTTAACAACACGCTAATTGGGAATCAATGATGTTCTGCTTTTTAATAGTCAACATTTTTAAAGAGTGAGCCTTATAATTTCATCCTGGATGAAAAATGAAAGGGCATCCTAGAACTTAGAACACCTTGTTTTCTGTGGTTATCTGGAATTCTATGTTCAGCCTGGACAGTGAAGAGCTTTTTACATATGTAATGATATAACATGAAGCCCAAAGCAATAATTTGAGCAAGGGCCTTCTTTTCCACTCTTTCTCCAGGGAAATTGTATTACTGTGAATATACAAGCATAAAACAAACTTTGAAGTAATCTATCCCAGGGTTTAATAGAACGCCCTAGCTGGTAATTGAAAATTATTTATTCATGACCAGATAAGAGTCACTCACATTTTCTGCCAAATTTACCCATAATGTTTATGCCCCATTTTCAAGCTCTGTAAATTTTATGCTGAAGCTGATGCAGGATGGCACTAAACCAGATAAGAGAGCCTTTCTTCTGGCACTGCTCACTTCTCATTAATGTCAGGAACGCTCACAACCTGGGAATTCATTTACAGCTAGCAGCCCAGTGGTCCCTCAGTTGCTGGGAGAATAAGGAGGCTTCCATACAGAGTTTTAACAATGGGAGAAGAGCTAGTTCGATTCGCAACTCTACCTAGATTCATTCTAAAGCTTGCAGTCTGCAAATTGGGAAAATCTAATTTATTTGGACTTTGTATTTATTAAATGATATCGAAACTGGAAGAGAGACAGGGATGAAAGATAGCCTGGATTAATTTTGCATTCGAAAGAGCCTTAGAGATGGCATATATGCTGATTTGGTTGCCAACTGCAAAGGCATTGGATGTAAAAAGGTATCTGCTCTTTGCAGCTCTTATGTAGTATACACGATAACTAAAAATGATGCCCCTATCCCATCATGCTAGGATTTTCAAGTCATGAATAGCAAGCAGCTCACAGATCTTTTTCCAGGACTGTTGCTATTTCACAAGGTGTGGAAAATATTTGAAGCTCAACAATTCAAGGACAAAGCATTACTAGGACTGAGAATGACTGCACCTGTTAGCATTTGTCTGAAACAGCTTTCAAAACTCCTGGATTGGGAAGAAGCCCTCATGCTGGGAGAAAAGAAAAGGGTCAAGCTTGAATGAGCACTGAAAAGATGCTCAGAAGTTGTTTAAATGTGCATCCTCTCATTAGAAAGCTCCCAGGGGCAGGGATGAGGCTTTTAGTTCATGCTTTGCTTCTAGCTCTTCAGTGCCTCTTTGACTGATTCCATTCTAAGGCTATTATGATTCCTCAAAGACAGAGTCCCCTAGGTGGGAGTTTCCGTTCTATAGGAACCGTATTGTATCTGGAACTGCTGGCAAAGGCAAGCAGACCTCTAATGAGTACTGGTGTTAACTCCATTAAGTGCAGAGGAACATATGGGTAAGCACTCTTCCCCCACTATACTTGGCTGAGTGGGTGGGCAGGCTAACTTGGTGGAGTATGTCACCTGAAGGGTGCTACTGCATCCTCCCATCTCCGAGGAAGTAATTAGGAGAGCGAAGGATAGGAAATGTGCTACCAGAAGATAATGTGCATTTCAACAGCAACAAGGCAGGAAGCAGAGACAGGTGCCCAAAGGGCCTTACAAAACATGTTATCTTGGAGAAACACACTCTATGGGGCATCTTCTGATAGCTGGGCAGCCCCCAAACAAACTGGCTGGACTTTGGATATTCACGTAGTCTGACACATGCCAAAAGAGGGGAGGGGACTATTTCTCTTTTAATTCATCTGCAAACATTCTAAGCACTCTTCTAAACTAATAAAGCCTAATTAATAAAGTGCAAGCAAATAATATGGCTACTGCTTAAATGCAATTAGCAGCAGCAATGGAAGTGCTTAAATTACTGGAGCTTGTGGGGCATTTACTTCATACTCAAACTCTTTAAGACACAAAGCTATCAGCATTTTGATATGTTTAAAGCACAACCAGATGTCACATTAAGAAATGGGGCCTTATTTTTTATGTTTTAATATTTCTTGCCATTGTTTTGCTAGAATAGGCTTATTACAATGCTGTCTCTCTTCCCACCCCTTTCATCTTCACCATACACACGGTAGTGTTCTGGATGACTGCATATCATTCTGCTTGCCCCACCTTAAAACAGCAAAGGGTACCACTGCAGAACATGCATAAAAGATGAGTAGAAAAACAACAGCATATATAGACTATCTTTAGTTGAATAAAGCTTAAAAAATAGGGGTATTTCGCTTGGAACAAAAGATTACTGACAAGGGAGAGATTTATGAGATTGTGAGTGATAGACCAGGACTGATTAGAAAAAAAACCTCACTGAAAGGTTGACGTTACCTATTAAAGATGATAGTTATGCATTTATATACTTAAGTCAATTTAAAACATTTTTTCAAAAATGTATAGCTGATTTATTACAACACCCGCACTAGAATTTTATGATGCAGCATGTACAAATTCTTTTTAAAATCAGGGTATATTAACACACAAAGGAACTGACCAATAAATGGGCACTAGTCATGACACCCCAAAATATATTCTCTTGAACAGTGTTTGCTGTTCATCAGGACAAACACTTTTTCAACCTGAGATAGAAATACAGGCTCTTCCCAATGTACTCTTTGCAGTTCTGTAGTATTTTTGTGACACGAAGTGGCATTCTCCTTTCAGCATCAATTCAGCAAAGCTTAGGATATATGGTTGCATGCCTTGCTCTCCTTCCACATATATTCCCCGCCTTTATTTAGCTGTTCCCTGAATATTCGCTATCTCTATTGCCTTACTCAAATGTATTTGACTAAAGAAATGAGTGCACCACAGTCCTGTGGTTGGCATGGAAACATAATGTATTCTGTGCTCATTACAAGA